GGATACTCACTGGAATGGTCTGGAAATCCTTAATCCCGGCCTCTCAGGGTAGGCAGAAGAGGCACAATTTGGGGGTTTGGTCTAAAAATAGATTTCCCAGAAGGGAATCGCTATTTTAGAGGTTTCAAGGTGTAATTTTATTTCCTCTAATCACTAATTAATGAGGACTCCAATGTGTGGTGAGAACAAGGATGACGATTTAAAACTTAATATAAATTTATTAAAACGTAACAAGCAACAAGTTAGTGCGACTGCTCGCTGAGGGGATACTCACTGGAATGGTCTGGAAATCCTTAATCCCGGCCTCTCAGGGTAGGCTGAAGAGGCACAATTTGGGGGTTTGGTCTAAAAATAGATTTCCCAGAAGGGAATCGCTATTTTAGAGGTTTCAAGGTGTAATTTTATTTCCTCTAATCACTAATTAATGAGGACTCCAATGTGTAGTGAGAACAAGGATGACGATTTTTAAAACTTAATATAAATTTATTAAAACGTAACAAGTTAGTGCGACTGCTCGCTGAGGGGATACTCACTGGAATGATTTAAAAACCTTAATCCCGGCCTCTCAGGGTAGGCTGAAGAGGCACAATTTGGGGGCTTGATCTAAAAATAGATCTTCCAGAAGGGAATCGCTTCAATATCATATCATTTAATAAACCTGCATATCATTTAATAAATCCTGAAGGACATAAACATCAATATTATCTCAGATTTCAATGCTACCAGTCTACCAGTCACAAACTATATCTGCTTTTTTGGGGTATATAGCTCAAATCACAATAGCCCCCCTCCCGTTTTCTTCAGGATTCAGGCAGCGAAAGGGCAGGTCATCCACGACAAGTATCTTATTATCCAAAAACCAACAGTTTAAAGATTTTTTAACATAATTGAGACATTGTCCCATACTGGGAAACTCACCATTACTTCAATCCCCAAGAAAACGTATGTGTTTGTGTGTGTGTGTGGGGGGGGTTATCCTCATTACTACTATAAAAATAATATGAAGTTCCATTCTATGGCTGAATTGAAGTCTAGCATCAATTGCACCTAGCAAATTACTGATACTACTGACCCCAAGGAATTGGTAAAGAGTAAATAACATCACAAATTTCAAGTTATAAATGTGGCTTACATTTTAGCTTTAAAAAAATAAGTTACTTTATTTCAAGAGGGAACTTTTTTCCCTTCTTTTGTTACTTATTCGATATTCTTTTTCGATCCAGATGGAGCAGGCAGTAAGTTATTCTTTATAAATATGTGTTTGGACTTTGATATTGACTTTTTGAACGTACATATTTGGTTCACATTGGTTTTCTTCGCACCTAGTTCTAACACAAAATCAAGATGGCTTTATTTTAGTGGGTCACACTGAGGATTCGTATGTTGTATATGATACAGTACATATTATCGAAAATGACCTCAAACTGGCGTAACTTTCATATAACTATTCACTGCATTAGATTTAGAGCTTTATGACATCAAAAAAAACTTTTAATTTATTTGGGTAGTTTAGACTGATTCTCAAAATAATAACCACGAAATTTAAGCATTTCTGATTGTGCTCAAAATCGAATAATTAAAAATAAAAAAGCGAAAAAGGAAAATAGATAATCAGAATATTAAAACGATGGAAAAAAATAAATAAAAGCGTAAAATTTTTTAAAAAATATTATTTTAATCCGATATGAAGTATTTAAGAAAGAGAAACTCACTACGTAATGTTATAAAAATATATGTATAGGCCTAAAGCACTTTTAACACCAATTATCTTCAAACCTCCTTAGTGTTACATAGCCATAACCTTAAACGCAATAGCCACTTCCTTAAAACCTAATTATTCTTTAAGCCTTCAATTACTTTTGCCTTTGTTTACATTTTTCTTGCCTTTCAGTTCTTTGGGCTGTGGTCAATAATGCAGGAGTTGTACAAAGTGGAGAAATGGATTGGGCATGCATGGAAGACATTAGGATGGTATATGAAGTGAATACTTTTGGCACAATCAAAGTTACAAAAACTTTTTTACCCCTAATAAAAGCATCAAAAGGAAGAATAGTAAATAACACTAGTGCTGTTGGTAAGAAACATTTAAATACACATCGTGTTTTGTATGATCTTTTGCTAATGATGTCAAAAACTGTGTTCAAATCTGATCAAGAAATATTTTTTTCTGTACAACATTAGACTTGATCGATTAATGAAACTCTTATTCAAATATTTCTTATTTTATTAATTTCACAATTTAAATAAGTATTTATGCAAGACCTACAAGTCTTATTAAAAGCTGGCGCTACCTATTATATGCATATGCATCAAGTTTTGCTACATGGTACTGGCAGATCTTTCTTCCTAACCTGGCATGCCAAAAATTAAAACATATGCATAGGTTTCATGCAAAATTTCTTTAAAAAATTCTCCAAGTTTTCCCAGTCTCACCAAAACAATTAACAGTGTACACAGTAACGACCCATATCAGTTAAGAACACATAATAACAATAAAGCATAATAATATAACACATAATAATTAGGGCATAAAACGCATTAATAAAAAATTAAAAGCATGAAAAAATAAAAGTCAATATATATCAATACAAAATCACTGACACTCCTTTAAGCATTTATTACCATTAGCAATCAAACACACTCCCGTGATTTTTAGATCTTTTAAAAAAAATTTCATACTTTTTTCCAGGTATTTGTCAAAAATTTTCATATTCTCTGAGATTTCCATGTTTTTTCAGCTAATTTCAAATTTTCTGAGATTTGAAAATCATCTCTAAGCGTATGAACCCTGATGAAAAGAATAATCTACATTGAAACTTATGGAAATTGACAATATGCTGTGTACCAATTCGATGGTCCACTTAGACGGTAAACTTATATAGAATAGAAGTAACTAAATGTTAGAAGAAAAAAAATTTGGTGCTTGTGTAATAGGAGATGAACTCAGATAGGTGATAATCTTATTCAGGTAGTCAATTGAACTGGTTTCGCGGCATTAATGAGACTTGTTTTAAATATTTGACGAGAAATGCTGTTTGGTACTTATTCAACTACCTTTAGAAACATGCATTCTAAACTAAATCCATCCATTTTTCAAAGAGTTTTGTTAGCATTTATGTACAGTCCGCAAAATAATAAGCGAACCACTCTGAATAATTTTTGATCTAATGGTCGGATTTCCACGTTCTAGGACTCAATCTTACGGTTCGAAGGGGTGACCTCAAATATGCTAATTAATTAGTGCAGACGTTATTTTAAGTTACGAAATCGGACACAACGCGCTTTCTCTGAATAAACTCCCCCCCCCCTAACGTTTCGAATTTTTCACCCTCAAAATATAGGGGGTAGCCGCAATCTGGGGAATATGGTCATGAGAGCAATCCAAAGTTTGGACTCCTTAATGTTAATTTTACTGTTTGCGTATTTCCCAATATCTCGAGAACTTTTTAAGCGATTTTAAGAAATTTTGCTCACAATTAAAAACATTGTATAACCAAAGATAATTTCATGCGAAAAATAAACTTTAGTAAATATTGAATTATTTTATTTGATAGAAGTCGAAACAATTTTTGGATTGTAAATATACAATTTTTATGCTGTTTTAAATTAGGTAACTTAACATTTCAAAATACAAAATTTGGGCGAAATAGGTTGAATAGTTCATGAGAAATCAAATTTTAAAAATGTTGTACATTTAAAATTGGATTTCTCAGGAACTATTCGACCGGTTTCGCTGAAATTTTGCATTTTGCCATGTAAAATTACGTACAAAATTGTATACACCAAAATTCAAAATTTTTTCGACTATTGTTAAACAAAATAATAAAAAATTATAAATTTTTACCAAAATTTAATTTTTTTTGCTTGGCATTATCTTTAAATAAACAAATTTTATAATTGTGTGCAAACATTTTTCAAATCGCTTTAAAAGTTCTCGAGATATGGCGAAATACGCAAAAATTAAAATCAAAGGGTCCAAACTTTGGATAATCTCTCCTGACCAAACTATGGGGACCATATTTCCCAGATTGCAGCTATATTTTGGGGTCAGAAATTTGAATCCGTTGAAAAAAAGGTATGTTTACTCAGAGAAAGTACTTTTTCTGTCTGATTTCGTAAGTTAAAAATATCGTCTGCGCTAAATAATTAGCATATTTGAGGTCAAAATCTCGAACCATTAAGATTGACTCCTAAAACGCGAAGATCCGATCATTAGATCAAAAGTTATTCAGAGTGGTTCTTTTTTTCTTTGCGCACTGTACATATGCACAAATTCGTTGTTTCAAAACGCCCGAATTAAATCAAACATAACAGGTTAACGACTGTCTCGTACAATTCAACTTTTGTATTATTCAGATGAAAGAGCAAATTTAAGAAAAAACTCTATGCAATTCTGGCATTGGTAGAGATTACTACCCATCACTCTGTATGTAATGGGAAGAGGTTTGTGTTATTAGATGGGTTGAACGCAGGTTGCAAACTGAAATCAGTGCTCCCTTTACACGTAACCAAATTCTTTGCGTTCAAGTGAAAAATGAGTGACCGTTGTACTACTATGAATAACGATATGATAAAAGCAGAAATAAAACCACACAAACAGACTTACTATATGGTTCTGTAAGGAAAAACCTTGCAAACAGAAAATATTACTATGCAAACCATTGCATAGATTCAGTAGCTATTGTTGCTCTTGTACCTGAGAGCATATTTCTGACCAAATGTTTATAAAATGCAGAATCAGGCAGTGATGTAGCAGAAACAATTACACCACTGCCAGCCAATTTGAATGCATAGTATTTGTCAAGAAATTGAAAATTTTATTTTAAATTATAGGTGTGTCTTGCGTTTTGTGCTTCGCCTGTTGTACAGCAAACAAACATCCAAGATTCAATCAAAAAAAATATCAAACGTTATTCCACTCAGCATAAATATAAAAAATAAGAAGCCATTTTTTTAAACATGTTCTAGTTTTTTTTAAAAAATTATTTTGCAGTTTCGGGTAAAGAGCATCCTGTTTTTCGGAGTGAATTTATCTTGTTTCGTGCCTTCTTGTTATAAAGCAGTTAGAAAGTGTAATAAATACATTTTTGACGACGGGTTTTCCAACATTTCTCCCCTTGAAGAAAGTGCAGGACACTCGTTAAAATGCAAAAGCAGCAAATCATACGAAGAGGAGAGTCAATATTAACAATGTTAAAACGTACAAAATGGTTCGAAGACAGTCGTGCTCCGCCAGAAGTCTAAAAGTTGCAGTTGCCCGAGGTGTGTCAATAACAAGCTGTGGTCTAGCGAAGGGAAAATTATAAGGTTTGTCACCCGAAAGATGCAAAACAAGCCGTTTCACAGAGAAAGCTCTTTGAAATTCTAGCAATTTCCAATCTAACTGAAGGGAATGGAAGGTTTCGGGTGAACCAAAAATCCCATCTTAGCAAGTTAGTCAGATTTCTCATTTCCTGCATTGCCACAGTGAGAGGAGTTAATTTACTGAAAGGAAACTTATTTATTATGAAGATTTTAGTCCTGTCGTTTTAAAAAACACGGGAATTTTTCTATGAATAAGTAAAGTTACTAAAATTAAAATGTTTATTAGCTATATTTTATTGAAATGTAACAATGATTTTTTATTTTATTGGACAGGTCGTTTTATTTGCCCAGGCTTTGTTGGCTACTGTATGTCCAAAAGTGCAACCATTGCATTTACTGAAGGTCTAAGAATAGAAATGTTAAAATGGCATGTAAAAGTTATTAGCATTGAGCCTTTCTTTTATAAGTAAGCTATAGTTTCAAACAATCAATCAATATTATTTCTTTTCATTTCAAAGAAAGAATGCATGACACAAAAAGTAAAATAATCCCGTACCATCACAGTGCTTTTTTTTTGTTTGTATTATCAGTGTTTTACATATTATGCTCACAGGTTGTGATTGAGTTAGAAAACTACTAAAAAACCACATATTTTTAAAAAATAATACACTTTTACTCCCCCCCCCGTTTAAATTACAGTAAAGATTTCAACTGAGTTGCATCCATATTCATTCCTTTGTTACTATATATTTTTACTATATATTACTATGCATGATTACAAGAAAGTTACCTTTCTGGTAATCATGCATAGACCATAACTGTTTACTTTTTATGAGCATATCCCATTCATGTAAATATCATTAAAAAACAGTTATTAAAATGTTAAGAAACTAAGTCAAGATCTTAAATTACTTACGATAACCAGATAGAAATTTTTCGTCATCAAAGATAAAATAAGCGAAATGCACTTTGGTCTCTTCGAAATTTTAAATCTTATTTTTTCAAATAACTAATGAAAAAAATTAACTATATAAATACGAGGGTTGTAAATTAAATAGTGGCAACTTAACCTTGGAACTCACAGAAGGGCGGGCATGCGTAAATAGGGTATGGGTGGGGTGAGGTGGCGCTGTTGTCGATGCGTAGAGTGCAAAAATCAGTCGATTTGTTTAGAAGGGTAGTTGTTGCGTGGCGTTAAAGTGAGGAGTTTCGTTTCCATCGCTCTAAAGCATGTTGTGAAAAGGCTTAATGACGAAAAAAGACGAGATGCTTGAACCCATCGTGCTACTGTCCTATACGGTAAAACATTTGCTCCACAGGCTTCCACTAATCCTCGATGGCATTCTGTTGCATTTTTGCCACGGGCAACCTCGATTGTAAGCCACGACCGCTGATCACCTTTTGAAAACATGCTTTAGAGCGATGGAAAAAAAAATCTTCACTTTAACGCCACACAACAACTACCCTTCTAAGCAAATCGACTTTTTTTTGCACTCTACACATCGACAACAGTGCCACCTAACCGCTCCCATATCCAATTTGCGCACGCCCGCCCTTCTGCGAGTTTCAAGGTTAAGTTGCCACTATTTAATTTACAACCCTCGTATAAAAACAAATTCCCACTTTCTTAAGATTTTTAGATTGTTATTAACAAAAAAGGATGTTTAGCCTGCTTTATAATATATTTTTTATGTGACAATGTTATTATCAAGTATGTATTTAACATATTGTTGTTGTTTCAAATGGCACTTGCCACACGGGCAAGCCTGCTTGGTGAAACCGAGCAAATTTAAGGTAGAGTGTGCGTTTCTTGTTTTTTCAGTGGCGCCATCCTATCGCCAAGAATTCGGGTTCAGCCACACACACGTCACAGCCCGTATTTTACAGGGCGGACCCATTCATACATCCACAGATCGTAATTTTGACCTGAATCAGAGGACGATCTATCTCCAATCCAGTACCCCCAGAGGTATTGATTGGTATGGGAACATAGAGGACTTTGCGACTCGACAAATTTAACGTGCATCAGTCACCATTTACTACACGGGGAGTCTTCGGTCGGCGGGGTTGGAACCCACGAACTCTCGGATATGGGCCCAACGCCCTACCGATCAGGCTATCTCGGCCTTTAATTTGTACAGTGACAGTTTAATTTGTAATTTAACATGTAAAGTGATTAAGCTAACCATTTAGCAATTTGGAGAAATTAATACTAATCACAGACATATATGATAACTAAGAATAGACGTTCGAATCATTTACATGCAATAATTAATCATTGATAGTAATGTAAATCGTACAGTTAGCAAAAAAAAAAAAAAAAAAAAAAAAAAAAAAAAAAAAAAAAAAAAAAAANAAAAAAAAAAAAAAAATCATTTGAGAGTTAAAATAAAGTAGGTTAACATTAATGCAGAAATTTCAATATAATTAGAATTCAAAACGTTTACAAACATTGTTATGTGAAACATTAAAATTTATTAAACATTATTGTTTGCATGAAAATACTTTTGAATAAACTAGTTTTACAAATGTCTGCAAGAAGTACAATTAGTTCTAAAGATATTTTTGAAAATGTAAAAAAGTTATTATAATATTAAGATGCAAAAATGATTTTGATGCAAAAATGATTTTGACTAGTCCTCTGACTAATTTATTACTTTGAAAACATAATAATTACGGACAAATCGTAATAGTTGACACCTCTGTGTATTAGAAATAGAAAAAAAAGAAGAAAAAAGGTGGATGAATCACATAAAATATAAGCGCCAGTAAAGAAATTTACTAATAAAATGTTATATGAAATTGATTCGTTTATTATACAATTATGTATATCATCAATAATGAATCCATCAAAACAACTTTTATTTCCAGAACTCCTCTGACCACCTTGGAAACAGCAATTCAAACTGCTGAAAATGCATGGAAAAAAGTTGACCCAGACACTCATAAAGTATATGGAGACAGTTACTTTGAAAGTTTCAAATACAATTGTCGCCACACTGCTGATCTAGGCAGTTCCAAAATTCATGAAGTCATTGATTGCTTTGAAGATGCCATAACTTCAAAAATGCCGAAGCCTGTTTATTTCCCTGCTTATCTACCTCACAAATTCGGTATCCTAATTTCAAAACTCTTGCCAACAAAATTAATGGACGACTATAAAAGACTTCATCTTGACAGTGGGGAAAGACCAGCAGCTTTAAAAAGACACACAAATTAGAAACAATGACAGGCATTACAGGGTGCACCCATATATACTGATCGGAATTTTTGAAAAAACAAAAGGACACACATACTCAGCAGAGTATAGGGTTGTAATTTCTGAAGAAAAAAAAAAGTTCTAAAAATTACTTATAAAGGAAAATTGGATCTTTAAGGAGGGAAAGCAATAACTATGGATATTTTAGAATAAGATAAGGTTAGTGTAGAAGATACGAGAAAAGCATAACTTTTGAAGGGCCTATGCCTGAGATCCCAACTTCAAAAGGCAGAATTACTTTGTATGTCAGAGAAATAAACACAGTTTCTGTCGAAAATCTTGTATGCCGCATGCAATTATGAGAATATCAGAATAGTGGTCACATTGAACCTCATTTCATTTTTACTTTATATCCGTCATTGAACAGCTGACCCAATTTTTGGATTTATGACTACTAATGCTCAACTCCGTAGCCGTGTAATTTTGAACCAAACCAGAAGACAAGGAAACTCCTGAATCATCACGCCCAGAGGTATTGATTTGTTATGGGAACATGGGGGACTTTGCGACAGATTTTACGTGCATCAGTCACCATTTACTACACCAGCGGGGATCGAACCCACAAACTCTTGGACATGGGCCTAGCCCCCTACCAACCAGGCTATCCCGGCCTCAACCTCATTTGTAAATTAGAGACAAATACTGTTTATTTTTATAAACAAATTATTATAACAGTTATGTCGTTTAAAATTGGGATGCCAGGCACAGGCCCTTCAAAAATTATGCTTTTCACATATCTCTAAAATTAAGCTTCGCTTCTTTTATTAAGTATTAATACTTATTGCTTTGTCCTTAAAGGGACATGAACAACATGTTCATAGTATGCAATGTGCACATTAATAGTTTCCGTATGATCAAAGCTAAAAAGTTTGTTTATCTCACTCTAATTTGTTGATTGTTTTGACTTGATTCTTTAAGTATGGAAAAATAAATGAATATTATGTTCATTTCCTTAGTCATCATAAAGTTGTTAAATTTTCTATTTTTTTTAATAATTTATAAATTTTTAATATTTTTTTCACCTTCTGATAGTTAAAATCATTTTAATTTTTCCTGTTTTCTTTTCTATTTTAATCTTATACTATAGGCACTATGTATTTGCAGCTTATGTGCAATTAATAAATCTTAAATTTTCTTTGAAATATTCTCTATTCTTTCATTCTGTGCTGCCATTTTTGGGGAGAAGAATAAACTATGAATATTAATGAAGTTGAATATTAATAGTTTTTGAAAGAAACATCTGCAGACAGGCTTCGTTTCATTTTCAATTATAGATGATTTAATTAAAAAAACCTACTCAATTCTGTTTCTTGTTTTTTATTATTTCTATTTACTATTTATTAAATTGGGTTAAGTTACTTTTGGAATTTGAGACAGGTTTTTAATGTTATTTTTATCTGATTATCTGTGTTGCTAATTCTTCACATCATAAGGGGGAAAAAAAGAAAATTTAAAGTTTTTGAAATAATTGATAACTGTTTTTCCAAATTGGCAGCTTCTTAGTAAAACTCAACATTATTCAATATTTTTGACATATTTTTATAAAAATTATTTTGATGTTCAAGGGCAATCTCACGATATTTATAGTAATTATTGGCAAAATTTTTTACACAGTCACAATATGAATTCCATCTAGTATCATTTGGAAATTGGGGCATTAAGCAGTTTTTTTTTTCATTTGCCCATTCATGTGCTTGATGCACATTTCTAAAATATTTGTTAACTTCCAGGATACTTCTTTTTCAACCAAATTTTAAAAAACCCCACTTAGCGTTCCAAGTTTTTCAAAGTGGGCCCACTTAGCAAACCCTGACAATTACTTAATACATCTACATTTAATAGATATTAATGTATGAAAGATTAAAATTCCTTTATTTTCAAATTCAATATTTAATAAATACAAGTATACAAAAGTCTTATAAATTAACAATACATTATCAAGTTTCATAAGTTCTTGTAAGAAGCAATCCATATAAATTAAAACTGACAATGTGACTAAAAAAAATTCTAATTTGGTATCTTGTGTAAAAACGAATAAAATGTTACAATACCACCCCCACACTTAAAGTACCAACGTTATGAATGAGTTATCTGTTTTAACATTGAAGATATAATCAAGGATAATGTTTGAGCCATTTGCTGAGCAGTATAAGGTTGATTTACAGGTGGCAGGTGAACAAATGCAGTGTTTCTATTTATTTTCAAAGAGGTATAATATATGAACTCACATAGATACCTAAAAGTAGAAATTTTATTAAAGTTTTAAAAAAGAGGAAACATCCAAAGCAACAACATACTGCACTGCATGTAATAAAAGCATAAAAATAATAAAATATGAATTATATATGTATTTGTATTATTTTTTATGTATTTCATTAAACTAATAAATGGAGATGTTTATTGTGGACCAAAAATTTTCCCAATTTCGATAATTTATTAAACTTGTATGCACTGAAAAGTTATTTTCTGATAAATCATTATTGAAGTCAATCACAATAAGAATGAAGTAATTAAGCACAATCATCACAAAACATTTCATTTATCGTATATAGCTAAATAGCATGGCAAGATTTTCACTACATCCAGCAAAAAAAAAAAAATTTATTATGATTTTAACTTTACCTCTACCCTTTTTAAAATACTAACATTAGATTCTTAAAATATAAATTTTAATATGTAAATTTTTGAAAAGGATTCGAAAGATATCTATTAAAGGCAATGATTAAGGAAAAAGGAAAACACTGAATAGTACTTATATTATTGATTTTCTAAATTCTTTAATTTTTATTTACACATTGAAATTATTATTAACTTAGTTGAATAATTTTATAATGCTTTTTCAAACTCTAGAATTAACAGTTATTTATCAAAGCAATATTAATTTACAAATTTTAAATTCTGTAAAGCACTTCTTGTTGCTTCTGTCAATTTGGTCATTGTTAGATGTAGAACTTTTGTGTGTGGATTTATGTTTCAGTAAAATAGGAACTTCATTTGAGAAATTAACAATTTTCTCCCCCAAAACTAAAAGCATGTGATTCTTCTGATTGTAAAGATAGTTTGAGTCAATTTATTGAAAGAAAAAAAAAAGTTTAAATATCTGAATAAGAAAAATAACTATTTTGGATTATTAATTTAAATGCAAGTCAATCATTCATAATGAACTGATGTTATGTAAATAATTTTATATTATTGTTTCTCTGGTTTTCACATTGCAAAAAATAAGGTAAGAAAGAAAGGATGTAACATAAAATAAAACAAATTAAAAAATTGCATTTGAAAAAAGAATAATTTAAAGTTTTTTTTTTAAATTAAAATAAAAGAGAAATGAGATGAAAAGTATGAAAGTCAGAAATTCTATGAGATGAAAAAGTATCAAAGTTAAAAGTATATAATAATAACTTGCAGCAAGTTTATTTTAACTTATAGCAAAAATCCATTTATTACTAATAGATGATTAGGTCAGAAATATAGCACTTGAAAATAGATAGAATAGGTTGCATTACCAGAGTTTCAGGGGATCAAAATATATTTTGAAGCACACAAATTTTTATTATGAAGCATCAAAGGTATACAGTGCAAAAAATTCCCATTTTGGAGCATCAAAACTTATCTCGGAACATGAGAATTGTCATTTTTTCAGCAACATTACAAAAAATAAGAATTTTTGCTTTACTTACGAAAATTATCACATTATACAAGAAGGAATAAAACAGAGATAAATTTGATTAAAAAAGAAAACAAAATGAAAATTGAAACCTAATAATTTTCTGTCACACTCATTTCAAATAGAATAAAAGTTATTACTATATAAAAAAAGACCCAAAGAATTTTTGAAGAAAAAAAATGCACTTAGGGGTAAAAGTGCAATGCAATATTTCCACAGAAATGTGCAAATATTGCATTTCAGCATTATACGTACAGCACTTGAAACACTGCATTACAAAGCATAGTATTACTACAACAACAACAAATTTTTCTCATTTAGACATATGTTATGAAAGAAAAAATTTTTAACATCAAAAAACGCATTGAATTGAAAAGTAAGTACTATTATAATAGATTACTTGCCTTCCTGCATTATCAGAAGATTCAGTTTTCACACAAACATCATGTTGCTTTAGATCTTCCAACACTTTATCCACATCTATAGCAGTATGTAACACATTTTGTCCAACAGAACAGCAACAATTATTTGGGGGAAGCTGCCCTTTAACATCACAACCAAAATAATCTGTATTACAGGCCTGCTTTTCAATTGCTATGCATGTTGCTAATTCAGACATTCCACAATGCACAACTAGCTAAAAATGTATTGACTATAATTAGAATCATTTAAACGCATTTTATGAATAAGCATTAATGAAGAACACATCATTACACTGCATTCTAAAATGATAGGTAATGGAATGAAGTAAATTAACATTCATTTTATGCTGCATCAATGTATTTTTTATGGTTATTTTGTTTCATTACACGTTTCATTGATTTGTAGACTATTAATTAAAACAAAAATTTAACTTTATACTTCCTTTATTTATTTTTAAAGAATAAATATCACTTAAGAAATGTGTTGTTCTTATTGAGAATTCAAAAATTTAGAAAAATTAATGTTATTAGTTAAATTGTGTTTCGTGATGCCCAGTGTTTAAAAAACACTTGTTTTCTACCTAAAAACCTGGATTTTATTGGGTTCTTGATTTAAAAAAATTTAATTAAAAAAAAACTTGGACAATTTTCAAATTTTAAAAAAAAAATTTATTCCTGTATCCTCAATGATAATGCAGAATTTGTTTCAAACATGAAAGTTAAATATTTGGGAATTTATAACTTGTTTTGTTGCAATGTAACCATGGTTTGAGGAGAATTTAGATTGCTATACGATTATTTTTATTTCTTAATGACAAACAGAAAAATATTACATTTATCCAATTAAAAGATCCTATAAGTTAGTCCATAGTATAACATAAAGTCCATAGTATTAACGAAGGTTGACACTGCAACTCAATCTAGAATTTTGTTTTTTAAATTTCTATTCAGATTTCGAATACACTGGTTGGATAACTCTCCCAAAAAATAAGCTGATCCCAATGAAATTTAAATATGTTGTAAAATAAGAGTTGCTAAGTAAAACTGCCATAGGTAAATTAGTGGTGCTGCAATGGAATGAGATTATCTGCAATGACTATAAAATTGTACGTTTGATTGCAAGTCCGGGAATTTTGCAGTGTTTTGAAATTAAAAATTTAAGATAGTTAATTTGTAACAATGACCTCTGGACATCATTTGTTCAAAGAACTGAGATGGATATCTATTGGAAAATTAGTGGAAGGACAAAGTCAGATAGAAATAGCCATATGGCTAAATGGGAGTTCTGTGGTTCATAGACTTTGACAATAATTTCTAACCACAATTCGGCAACGAGAAGGTTCAGTCAAGGATAGCCAAATGCTATGATAAGTGCTGATAACAGATAATAAATAAGTTAATTCTATAAGCTAATTTTTCACCAAACAGTAAAAAGAGCTTTCATAAATTTACTTATAGAAAAATTAACAACCAACTTTAACAAAAGTTGCACATACGCAGCAACATAAAATTTTAATTATAGAAAAACTACCGATTTAAATTAATAACAGTTGCAGAAAGATTTATTGGAATTTATTTTCTAAAGAATTAAGATTCATTAAGAGATAATTTAGATTTATTAAGAGATTCATTAAGATTCTATAAGTCAAATTTTCTCCAAAGAACAAAATAGATTCTGACAAATTTAATTACATAAAAAAATTAACTATTAAACTTAATAAAAGTTGCATAAGGATTGCTTTGAATCTATTTTTCAAAAAAATTACTGCTATTAGTTTAATTTTCACCAAGCAATAAAACAAGTTTTCATGAAATTTAAATATTAAAGAATTGACAATTTAAATTATTATGAAAGTCAGTAAGATGTTTTCAAACTTATTTTTCAAAAAAATTAATAAGTTTGTTTAGATTAACTGCACTTTTAACTGATTTTTTGAAACTAGTACCTTTGGTTTTAGTTCCTCCCATAGCTTAGGAACACTATCTAAAACAACATCGTATATAACAGGTAATTCCCGAATAACTAAATTGTAATTTTTGTGGTCAATATTAAGAAGTTGCTTAGCAGTAATCCAGCTTGAATTTTCAGAATGATCTCTAAATAAACCAAACCCTGCAACAACAAAAAATATTATTTCAATTAAATATATAAAAATATTTTATAACAAATCAAAACAAATTATGCACTTATATCCAATGATGCTTTTATTGCCATTTTTTTAAAATTTTTATTTATTTGAGATATTTATTCATCAAGTCTTTAGCTCTAACAGCATATTGCTTGTATTGTTTGGAGAATTTAAGTGTTAAACAATTTACCTGTAACCAGGACTGTAGGAAGGTCAGGGTTACCTAAAAAACAAAGGTAAGATATGAAATATAATGCCTTATAAAAATTAAATAATATACTTTGAATTAAAATTTTCTTCCTTTATAGAATGATTGGTGCCTCTTTTATCTTCAGAAAAATAAAGCAATGACTAAAATAAAAGTTTCTTTTTTTTAATTCACATTAAATATTAAAAAAAGGAACAAATCAACTCAAATATTAAAGACATTAAAATAACTCAGTCATCAGTCTAAAGTTATTCAAAAACAGACTTTATGATAAAATGTATCCAAGTGAAGCAACTAAAGAAGGTTTTAGACAATTTAACATTTTACAAGTAGAAAATGATTCAGGTAAGATATTTAAATATGATATAATTTTCATAGGTTTCGACATTATTAAAAAGTCTTAAGTAATTCCCAAATTGCAAGACATATTAGGAATGTTTAAATTACAAATATGCTGTAAATTAAATATATTGAATTAACAAAAAAATTTTATCTCAGAAAAATCATAGTACTGTTTTTCACTGGAGAAAAAAAAACAGATTCGTTTCACATAAGAAGAAGATAGCTAGTTTTGAAAGTAACATAAAATTTAATCATATATTATTAGAAATGTCATATTTTATAGAAAAACGCTAATCTGAATTCAAAGAAACTGGAAAAAATTACCAAATCGGTTTCAATATTTTTTTTATTTCCGAAGATTTAGTGAATAACAATAAAAATATATAATGAAGACAGATTTAAGACGATTTAAACTAAAAAAAAACGTTTATCAATAAAATAACAAGTTATAAAAATAAAAACTAGGAAAATTTCTAGTTCTACTTTACCCATTTATTTCCCAATAAGTCAACAATTGGATTCAATTTAATCTTTTAATTGTCTCTATTGCTTGTAATCTAGAACATGAAATTTTGTAACAAGCTTTACTGAGATAAGCACAGTATCAGCAATATCTAGTTTGGAATCTGTTTATTTACTAATTTTAGAGAAGTTGCTAATTAAAAAAGGTTTCTGGCTGCTTACTTTTGTACAATAAAAGAACTTTAATAAAGCCGAATACTTTTTTAATGAATTCAGGGATGCGCGAAATTGTAATTCTAAGGAGACATTCTCACTGCATTATGAGAATGGAACTGTTTGCTCATTCGTGGGCAATTCACCATTAGTGGGAGCCCCGACGATCAAAGGAGCCTCATATGAAGGAGTCCCGAGTCCACATCACATTTTTTAAGAATTAAGTTTCTCTCTTTTTTTAATCAAAAATAAATTGTTTGAAGATAAAATTGCAGAAAATTTTTCTTTTTTGAAATTGCATATGCTAGTTATTTCCCTCACTCAAAAAACAAAAAAAATATGCTTTGCAGAAAGGGAGAAAAGTTACTACTGCATGTAGTTGATTGTTGCAGTTGTGCTGAATACATTCTGTATATTGTACTTCTGTACGTAGTTGTTTCATCTGCTCAGACCCAGACGCGTGCCAACTGGGGGGGGGGAGGCAGCCTCATAAATAAATACTAAATGAAATTTAAAGTGAGCGGGTAAAAGGTGTGCTTCGCCATTTCTTTTTGAAAATTTTTTTTCTTTCCATTTCATACTATTTTTCAAATTATATTTCCCTAAAATTTAAAAATAACGGCTTAATTAATTGGGATTATTTAATATTAACGTGGGGAAGCTAATATTTAAACATTCGCCAAGACAAATTCTAGAAAAAGTGATAGTTGTAGAGAAAAAGAAAAGCTATAGCTTTTTTTTAAGAATATATTCTTTCTCAAATTTGAAGCTATACATTAAATTGGAAACTTTATTTTTTTTCTTCAAATTAAATTGAAGGGGAGCAATGTGCCTCTTGATATTTAGGAAAGTAAAAGTTTAAAAAATATTTTTATTTTCAATTTTAACTCTATTTTGAGGTAGAAAACTTTATTTTCTTTCGAAATTGAATAGGGGGGAGGCAAACATAGTGCTTGGCCTCTTCTGAAATTTTGACGTGCACGAAATTTAAGTGAAGAGAAATTGGTAATAATTTTTTTAAAAATCTATTTTACAAGTAGAAGACTTTATTTCCTCAAATTAAAGAGAGGGGGCGAAAATGTGATGTCCAAATGCTATGATAAG